CAAACAGAGGTTATCATGTCAAGGGTATGGTCTACAGTGCGAGCCCTGTGTCATGGTCTTGAAGGGAAGCAGCTGGAATCTCCCGGGACTCGGCAGACGATTCTGATGTGGTAAGATGTGCCCAGCTGAGAACGCTAACCCTGACTAGAGAGGTCTGGAAAGGCAGGGGCCACCTTATTCATCCTTAGTACCTAGGGCAGACCCTGTGCAGGATAGAAATGGCAGGTGAATGTGGCATGTGGACAGTAATTAAATACTCACTTGTGCTAGGCACCATGCAAAGCCCTCTACAAATGATTTCATTTAACTGTCACGATAAGACTCTTAGGAGGGCTGTAGAATCTCTATTTTACAGATAAAAAAATGAGATTCAGGGAGGTGAAGTCACTGTTCCAAGATAGCCTGAACAGGAAGGGGAGCAGGGTGGACGACTGGACAGACTGGCATCCACTGGACAGGCAGGAGCTCGCCTCATCCTCGGTCGGTCCCTGCTCATCAGCCCCTTCGCATGGAGCCCCGTAATGGGGCGGCGCAGAACAGCCTGGACGTTACAAAGTGAAGATCCTTTGTGCTGGAGTGAAATGATCCTTTAAAAAATGATCACCAGCTCCCCTTCATTACCTCCGGAGACCAAGTCCTTGCTGATTTTTTCCCATCTTTATCTCAAGTACATTTAAATGTCAATTAAATTTGAAATATCTACATTTGTCAGCATTTCATTTTGGGCCAGCGTGACGTGCTGCTGATTTGTCCACGCGATGTGACACATGAAAAAAACTCGAGATGCAGATCTTCCTCATTAAAAAATAAGCTGGTGCGATCCTGGCACGGCGGAGAGCACGGAGCACGTCCCCACTTCCTGACGCCGTGTCTCTGACATGGTATTTAAAAAGGAACAGCCTCGCTTGTCACCACTGTCACACATGCACGCTAACCGGCGACACGTTAAACCAAACATTAGAAAGGGCTCGGGAAGTCATCTGCATGGGAACTCCGCGGAGATGAGCTGGGCAGAGGCGGGAGCGGCCGTGGGGGACGGTGGGTCTGAGCCATGATGGACGGCCAGCCTTTCTTTCTCGCCAAGACTCCGGCAGCCCTTGCTGGGTAGCCAAGTTTGCCACGACCTGCCTTTTCACAGACAGCTCTTTGTGTGTAATAAAATCCAGGCAAGTGGTGGGTGGCAGACTGCAGGGTAGTAGCTGAATTGGGTTAATGAGGGAAAAGGTACATTTTTTTTTTCATATTCTGCCTTAAGCTAATAAAAAATTTAAGCCTGGACGTTTTCGATGGTTCATCCTTTATCTCTGACAAATATCCGACTATTTGTTTCATGGTAGAACACGAGCAGCTGAATTTAAATAAGTTTTATTTTGAAATCTCATTTTTCATTAAAAGTAAAAGAGGAAACGTCCTACCTTTTATTTCATTGTTTCAGATCCAGAAGACTGAAGAGGCAGAATCCTGTAGTGGTTTAGAGTCAGGCAAATTTAGATTCGGTTCCCATCTCTACCTTTAACTGCTGTGTGACCCTGGGCAAGTGACTCCCCCTCTCTGAGCCTCGGCTTCAGTGTCTACAAAGTGGAAATGGAATAAGGAATTCATGAGAAAGTGTATGGACAGTATTTCAGCCAAGGCTTGTAGGTACTGCTAGTTACTTGTCATCACCATCCACGTGGCCTGGACCTGTCAAAGCTCAGTTCCGACCACATCGCATGGCAGACTTCTCACCTAAGTGCCTTGCCACTCTTGAGAGACAGGTGTATGTTCAGGAGACAGCCTGGGCCTCTGTGGAAGCTGCTACCCGACCAGTCTGGCCCAACCACGAGACATGGCTGGAGGAGGAAAAAGGTTCATAAGCTAGAAACCAAGCCTCCACCCCAGTCCCCAGTCCCCCTACAATCAGCCTGGGAGGCCCAGGATTTTGACAACAACCTGAACTGCAGCAGCCTGATTTAATGAAGCCAAGGTCCAGTCCAACACAAAGATTCTTTGCTCTTATGGGAATCCAGAAATTCCTGGCAGGTTTAGTGGCATTCCGCTAATGTGCCAAGCTGTGATCTGTGCTTTCTGGTCAAAGCCGGAGGAGGGGCCTATGCATGGATGGGTGTGGGAGAGGCATTCAGGATGGATGTGAGAGCACTGGGGAGTCTCACTGTTTGACCCAAGCTGGGGCTCGTGTCCCCTGGTATATGTCCATAGTCCCTCTGACACAAAGTGAAGTTCCTGGGGATGGACAGCCTGGGCCAGGATCCCTGCTTGTCACTTCCTGGCTGGGTCACTTGGTCACTTTTCTTCGTCCTCTGTGATTCCCCAGGGCTTAGCTTTGCCTACGTCTGCTCCCAGAGAGCGGGCAGAAAGGCTCTTGGTTGGTACACACATGGACAGACGGACTCATTCTCCACAAAATCAGTACCGTTGACACCTTCCTGCTAGGCTTTTGTGGGGGGAGGGGTAGAAATGACATGTGTAAGGCCTTGGCACAATGGCTGCTTGTGGGCATCATTTTAAACACTTTCCTGAGGCTTCTGCCTGCCCCTGTATTCCTGACACCTTCATGGTATTCTTTATGTCTTAGCATCTCCCCAGAGAGGGGACACTTTTAAATGGCAGCCACAGGCTGGGAAAAAGGAACCACAGTGATGAGGCAGAGCTCCAGGAAGGTGGGTGGAAGTGGGAAACCCCCCTCCCAGGCTGGCTTTCATTCATTCAATTGCTGATCACCTCCCACCACCACCCACCCCAACACCACCACCCCTACCACCACCCCAGGTGGGAGAAACCAAATAAGCCCTTGGGCAGCTCAACTTAGAATAGAATTGCAAGAGGTTAAATGATATCTCTGAAGCACTAAGACACACAGCCAGAGAGAACTGTCTCCATCTGGGGAGAAAACTCCAGCTGGGAGCTCCCGGGGGCTTCCTGCAAGTGCCATTTGAGCTGAGTCTTCAAGACTGAAAAGCAGCCAGTGTACCAAGCAAAAGAGGCAGGTGGAGTGTTAAGGGCCTCTGTGCTCAGAGATGAGTGTTACTCAGACACAGCCATGGCTGACGTGCAGGGGGTGCCGGGAGGAGGCCATAGAGGTGAGCAGAGCCCACATGCAGTGCGGCATCTGCCCTGCTAGGAGCTCAGACTTGGCACGGCCACTCACAGCCCTGGCACCACCCAGATAGCCCATCCCACAGACTCACCAGAGAGGAGCATGACCCCGGGCTGCCCACCCTCCACCCTCCACCTCAGGAGAGCAGTCCTGTGCTGGTGAGCAAGAGCAGGCCCCCCAGCTGTCAAACAGACAAGCCATTCTGCAACATCAGGCATTGTTATTCCTAGCAGTTTACTCACCTGACTGTTTACTCACCATACAATCAATTGCAGCAAAATTGTGATTCGGGATGGCAGATGTGCAGGGTCTAAGCAGGAGAGTGACAAGGTTGGGTTTCTAATCCAAGACAGACTCTGGTAGCTGTGTGTGGAGGGGAGGGGTTCCTGATCTGCCTTGTTTGCTGTAGAAGTGGCGGGGGTGAGCAGCCTGGCCCCTAGCTGGTCAGGGCACATTCCCAAGGTCAGATCTTCCCTAGCACATCTCTGCTAAGCCCTGAGGAAAATATCCCCCAGTCTGATGGCCTGCCTAGTCCAGAAAGGCTGAGGTGTGCTTGCCCCTACCAGCTGGGAAGGTAGCCTGAAAGCAGAGAGGAGCCAACTTCTGTGACCCGCCTCCTCCCAGGGCGTGACCCTCACTCAGCTAGTGGCTTCTCTTCTCCTGGTCAGCTTCCAGGGACAATGCCAGGAAATAAAAGTTCTGGTGTGAACGTGTAGGAAGTCAGCTCTGGGTACAACAGTAGGTTGTAGCAAAGCCCAGTCACAACCCACTCGCCCAATTGTGGGGGCAGCTATTGTCCCTCCTTTACCTTCTAGCTGTGATTCTCATGCCCTTTCCTGAAAGAAAACCTTAAAGGAATTCTGTCACATGAAGTGGAGACAGGAGACTGCTTTGGCTGTGGGGGTGAGGAGAGAGGGGATCCCCACTCGGGCACCCAGTGTCTCCTACCCATCCCTCTCCCCAAAGTCACTATTGTCTCAGAGCGACCCCAGCCCGTGAAGGGAGCAGGGGCATGTGGCATCCATTCCCTGGCACATGAGCCAGTATTTGAACCCAGGTCTGCCCAGGCCAGTCCTCTGTCCAGGGCCCTGGTCAGTATATAATTCATAGAAGCCTGGCGTGAAGTTTCTTTGGCCTGTGTATGTGTTTGTGTTTATGGAGGGAGAGCTCACAGGTGGCTGACAAGGGAGATGCATTTTTTATAACAATGAATATTTAATTTCCACATCACAGATGAAAAAGACTCTCTGAAGAGGCATCTGAGGGAAACTCCAGAGAGCAGCCGCTAATCAGAAAAGGGCCTTCTCACGAGTACCCTTCTGCATGGCTCACTTTTTCCTTTAACTTTTTTTTATTTTTTCCCAGTTTCTGAAGTAGATATGCTCATTGTAGAAAATGTATAAGACACAGAAATCACCTGTGATCCCACCAGCTATTACTGACACTTAGCTTTTCCAGTTGTTTTTTCTTTTTTTCTATGCATTTTTCCTTAAGGAGAGGAGAGAAAATGCAGTGTAATTACACTTCTGCGTCTTGGTTCTTTATCAACATTATGTTTCATGGGAAGACACCATTCACCCTCTGTGTAGATTTCTCTTGCTGATAACTTAGGTTGTCTCATGTTTTAATATCATAAGCCTGAACATCTTTGGGCATAATTCTTCACTACATTTAGAGTTATCCAAATGGAACAGGAATTACTTGGTCATGGATGGCAGACCATGAGTTTAAGGCTCTTGACACACAGGACAAATCCAGTTTCTCTTCCGTCTGGGACCAGCTCCCTCACCTTGGGGCCCTCTGGCCTTTTCCCAGGAGCCCCCAGCTGGACCACCTGCATGTGGGGTTCTGAGGGCACCCCCTAACTGCCTTTTCTTTTCTCTTTTGTCTTCCTCTGCCCCAGCCTGGTAAAGCCTTTGAGACACTATGCGGTCTTCCTCTCCGAAGACTCTTCTGATGATGAATGCCAGCGGGAAGAGGGCCCAAGCTCTGGCTTCACCGAGAGCTTTTTCTTCTCTGCTCCCTTTGAATGGTCTCTCCTTCCTCCTTCCATTTCCCTGAGCTCAGCTTGGTGACTCTCCTGGGCCATGTGAGGGGGGAGGGGTGCTGCTTGCCCTTGCGTGGGGGAAGGGGTGTTTGGAGCTGCTGCCTGCTGGTGCCCTAGTGCCACCATGCTGGGTTGGATACCACCTCCATGTGCTTCCTCTCAGGGCATCATTCCACCAGCTTTATGGGGGCTGTGCCAATGGAGTGGGGTGACAGGGTGAGATGGCAGCAGGGGTCCCTTTCCTTGTAAGGGGAAAATGGGCTTAATTATCAATGCAACTGGTGATCTGTAAGTCCTTGTTTATCTCAGCACATCTTGCAAAGCCATGGAGATGAAAAGTCAGATTTTAAGTTAAAAATACTTTACTAATGTGGAATGTGTATATTAATGCCAGCCTACCCAAATGTTCTGATCTGCCTGACTTCTTACAGATAATTTTTATCATTATTATTTATAGCCTATGCCTCATACCAGTTACAAATAGCAATTTTATAAAAGAAAAAAATATTACCCCACAATCCAGCCGCCCTCCAAAGTTAAGCCGTTGTATTCCTCCTGCCTTTGCCAGCTCTTACCCCTCCACCCACAAGTTCTTCAGAGCTGGGATTGAGCAGAGCGACAGCTTTTGTCTGTTTTTATTTGTTAGCAAGGTTGTGTGTTTTTTCTGGGAACCTTAAGAGGAGGGAAACTGCCCTTTGCTGAACGCCCACAGTGCTCACAACAGCCTTTGTGGAGTGATTGTTTCAGCATCTTACAGAAGAGGAAATGATTTTCCCTTCCTCCCTTCACAGCCCTGTCATGCCCTTCCTATTCCTAAACCCCCAGCAGAAGTCCTATGTCAGGTCCCTGCCCTGGGTTCCTCTGGGGACTTTATAAATCCCAGACTGTGCTGCCTCCTACTACTTTCCCCACAGACGGTCCTGACCCTTTCTGGTGACCAGGTCACCTCCAAACTCAGCAAGTCAATCCCCTCCTGATGTCCTCACTTAGAAAGTGGTAGGCTAAGTCAGCCTTGCCCAAGTGTCACGTGCCACCATTTGTGTGCCTTGAATCTTTCTCTTTAGACTTGTTCTTTAGACAAAGTCTAACTTTGTTGCCCAGGCTGAAGTGCAGTGGTGCAGTCGTAACTCACTGAACCTCAAACTTCCAGGCTCACGTAATCTTGCCTCTTCAGCCTCCCAAATAGCTAGGACTACAGGCACATGCCACCATGCCCAGCTAATTTTTAATTTTTTTTATAGAGACAGGATCTCATCGTGTTGCCCAGGCTAGTCTTGAACTCCTGTTTTTAAATAATTCTCCCACCTTGGCCTCCCAGAGTGCTGGGATTACAGGCATGAGCCACTGCACCTGGCCAGACTTTTTCTTTTAAATGTTTTAAAAATTAGTAAACATTCTTCCAAGAGGAGAAGGCCTGACACAGGACTTCTGCTTGGGTAACACCCACCTACCCCTGAACACCCCAGAAGGTTGAGTCCAAGGCCCAGCCCCATCAGGTTCTTCTTGAATTAACTGATGTGTTAAGGCTCATTTTCCTCACTTAGCCCATGACCTCAGAGGCCAGTACAGGCATTAGTGTGTGTATTTAAAAAGTAGCTGGCCCATCCTAACTCAAAACAAAATGAGCTAAAAAGAACACTCTTTCATGAAGTTTAAGAATACTGACTAAATTTTCTTTATCCCACTCATTGTGTTCAAAGTTAAAGGGTCTTTAATCCCTGCGTCAGAGTGAGTGAGGGACTTTTGAAGTCCCTCAAACATAGCTTCCATTTCCATCTCTTCCGGGTGCTTGAGTTAACTTCTCCGAGCTCCTATCTCTCATCTGTAAAGTGGGGGTGTAAGTCCTACTTCACAGGCTGCTTGCATTGTTTCCGGGAGACAGTGCCATCCGAAGGAATCCCTGGGCCTAGTGAGAGTCTATCCCTGCCCCAGTTGCTTCAGCAGGACTTCGGTGCGGGCCTGCTCCTGGCCAGCAGGTGGCGTCCCCCTCCCCTTCCCCCCAACCCCCCCAACTTTACCCTGCAGTCTCTGCCTGACCCAGGGCCACCCCCAGCCCCGCCCGGATCGTCAGTGGCCGCAAGGTGCAGTTCCTCAGCGGCTCCACTAGAGGTCAGAGTTTACCCAGGCACTGCCTCTACCTAACATACCCAGTGGTGCCCTGGAGGAAGGAAGGCGCGCTGAAGCCTTGGTTACCTGCGCTTGGGCCAGCTGCAAGGTTTTGATGAACGAATGTACAGGAAGCTGCCACGGAGCCCAAGTGCTGGCCACACTCACTGGTGGGTTGTTGATGCTGTAACCAGCCTCTGCGTGTCTGCTGTGTACCAGGGACTACATTTGCTCGTGTAATCACCGCCACCGCCTGAGCAGCTCAGGCACAGAGAGGTTAAGTAACAAGAGATGGCACAACCAGAGCTGGAACCCAGGTCAGCAGCAGCTGAGGCCCAGGCAAATCCTCTAAAGATCCTGGGGCACCTTGAGCACTGCCCTCTGGGAGCAGCTCAGTTCCCTGTGAGCTGTTCACAGGACCCAGCTCTGCAGGCTGTTTGTCAGCACCCGATAGGGGAGCCAGAGCACATCTGCCTGCCTGCCACTCTCTTCTGTCCCCTACACTTTATCTGAATGGCTCGCAACCCCTTTAGCCAGTTTTATAAAATGACCTGTGGTTTGTAGGCAACTAAGTGGGTCCCTCAGTGTGAGTGAGAGCCAAAGCAACTTGCCCAATGTCATAGCCATACGTCTGTCACAATGGCCAGCTTGCACCCTTGCTGCCACCTAGACATCTGCCCTCATGGGGACCCAGGACACTCTCCTGTCCTGAAGGCTCCTGGGCACACTCTGAGGGACTGGTCATTGTCAGTGGCCGGAGAGTCCACATTCTTCCATGAAGGCCCTGGGTGGGAGAATTGAGCCTGCTCTGTCTCCTACCAGGCCGCAGCCCTACCGGACACTCAAAGAATCAGACAGTGCGGAAGGTGATGAGGCAGAGAGTCCAGAGCAGCGAGCGCGGAAGCCCTTGGGCCCTGCCCCAGCTCCACCTGACAGGGCCGCCAGCATTGACCTTCTGGAAGACGTCTTCAGCAACCTGGACATGGAGCCCCCTCTGCAGCCACTGGGCCAGGCCAAAAGCCTGGAGGACCTTCGGGCTCCCAAAGAACTGAGAGAGCCTCCAGGAACCTTTGACTATCAGGTATGGTGTGGCAAGGAGGGTATCTGCTGGGGATGAGTGCTTTGCACACCTGAGGTAAGTCACCATGTGATGGCATAAGAGACCAAAGGGGAAACCGTGACTCTTCCAAGGACCTCAGACAATGCTTGGGGTCAATCTGACAGCAAACCCCACCCAGCAATCTAGTGTGGATCACTAGAGAAGATGCTGGAGCCTGGTGGAAAGGTGTCCCCCACGTTCCCCTATGCAGCAGTCAGAGGGGGGCCAGTGTTCCAGGCCGCACAGCCTGGGGCCTGCAGGCAGGGCTTTAGCCCTGATAGAACTAGGATTATTCCTATCTCCACCAAGGCTCCTAAGAAGAGCTTTTAGATCAAAATTCCACATTCTGGATTATTCCTGTGTGATTACTGATATCCACTGTGAGTCCCAATCTACCATATCCCCTCTGCACCTCAGTTCCCTCACTTGCAAGTAGAAGGTGCCGACTTTGCAGTCATGGGGTACCATTGTAGGATTCACAAAGCTCTCGCCATTCTAGTAATTCATGAGTACCCCCTGCTTAGGCCAAGAGAAGGGGAATGACTTGCCCAGGTCATGAGCATGTAAGTGGCAGAGCCTGGTGCCCCTACTTTGTCCCTAGCCACCCTGGCTTCCCCCAGGCCCTGGGCATCACCTAACCTCTGGGCTTTTTTTCTTTTCTTTTCTTTCTTTTTCTTTTCTTTTCTTTTTTTTTTTTTTTTTT